TTAGTAAAGTGACACGCTGCCATTTATTGTCAACGTTACCTCCAGATAACACCATGGTGCCTGCCTCCTCATGAGTCCTGACTCTGGAGAGAGAGGTTCAACTTTATGCAAATGTCCTTTCATGTAACAGGAGCGACAAGTCTGAGACAGCAATCCCGCTCTCTCTTACCTCATTCACACCAACGCAACTCCGGTTCAAGCTCCGTGCTAGAGCTTTTCAGGTTCAGAACCGGTTCTTCGGTTTAGCTCCGGCTCTTTTCCCAGAGTCCGACTGGTGCTGCGTCATTGCGTCATTGTTTGCGTCATGACGTAACCGTTTGCGTGCCTGCTTCATAAAGCCAAACCGCGCGGAAACCCCTCACAGCTCACACCGACAACAACAACAATGGCCGATTGTGTTGAAGCGCTACTCGTTTTGGTTTTGCTCTGTCGAAACGAAATGGAAGAAATGGGACGACTTTACTACCAACTTTACAGTCGTTACATACTACATTCAAAACTGCTTTACAATCGTAATCATCAACTTCAACGACGATTCCGATCCCCCCTGCCCCCGTCTCGACGTAAGCGTGACGTATGCGGTGCTTTTGCTCTAGCGGGACCATTTTTTGGTGCTTGAAACAAACCGGATTCCGGAGCTAAGAGGCTGCTCCGCTGCGGTGTGAACAGGAAAACCTGGTGCTTTTCAAGCTCCAGCTCCGAACCGGCCCTGAAACACCGTTGGTGTGAATGAGGTATTTGATTCCTCTGGAGAAGCCCAGCTCTTAGCAGCTAAGCTCTAACTTCACTATGTAGTAACACTTCAAATAAAAAGAGGGAAAACATCATCATGGCTGTAAGTTGGTTTCCTATTTGATATAATTGAATTACCTGCTTAGCAGAGTTCTACTTTGAGGATGTATGTGTGAACAGAGTGTAAAAGTGTTATTCTACTCATTCTACCTAATCCTTCTAACTAGCCTCACACCTTTATGGAAGTGTAATACTGAAACGCTTTATAGGGGCCCTGTTATGCTTTTATGTTTTCCCTTTCCTGTAGTGTATTATATAGGGTTTTGTTAATGTTAATGGTCTGCAAAGGCTAAAACCCAAAGTCCGTCCAACACTGCCCCTGCCTCAAACACCCCCATTGGACTCCTTCGTTTTCTTCGGTAACTTATGGCGCGTTTCCACTACAGCGCGGAGCACGGTTTAAGAGGGCTGTGACGTTTTGGTTGCGTTTCCACTAGGGGTGTTGAAAATAATCGTTTCTACGATGCATTGCGATGCGGACGTGGACGATTCGGTATCGATGCAGTGACGGAAGATAACCGATTATAGCGTATTAACGTTGCTTCCTGATTTTCCGGCCGCGGCTTTACTATGTTTTTTTTTCGGTCACTTTAATATCAAATCGGTCGGTGACGCAGAGATCAGGGAACAGACGTGACAGCGGCACAGCAACACCAAACACGGAGCAGTCTGCTTTATCCACCAACACAAGAACACCAGTCCAGAACCAACAGCAGAAGGACCCGCTCTGAATCACTCCGTGTCGCTGCGGCTCAGAGACACAGGGATTTATGTTTTTCAAAAATAATCGCGTTACAATCATATCAGGTTTTTGGTGGATTTAATTAAGTCTTGGATTGCAGAGTATGAATGTCCTCTAGCAATTTTCAGACGATATTATTATATACGTGTGTAAAGTTTGTGAAGGCAGCAGGAAAAAAGCTTCCGCGATCACCGTCTCCTCTCCGTTCCTCCAAACCCCGCCCCCTCCCTGAAAATAATGAGTGACAGGCTGATAGTGACCCGATAGAAACTTTATTATTCACTTAATCACTGATTGAGATATAATGAAGCTAACTTAATCTCATACATTCATGGGATTTATGTAACAGTAAGACAGAGAATGTAAGTGTGCACCCACATGCACTATTTTTGTTTGTATATGCTATTGTAAATACTCCTGTTGTCTGCTGTGTTCAGACTCAAGTCCTGTGTGTGATGCCACATTCAGGACATTCAGTGTCCTTTTTTTAACAGAAGACCGTTGCTAGAAGCTGCAGCTAGACTGCAGAAGCATTAGTTTTTTGTTTTTGAGGATGGAACAACTTCACACACAGATATAGGGAGGCTAGACCCAGGGGCGTCGCCTGGACCTGAAAACATTCGGGGCTTAGCCCACAGTGGCGGCGGCACTACAGTGGCATTTTTTACTGCAACACTCCCCACAAGCACACACACAGTACACCCGCGACTGTTACAATGAAGGCTCGATAATCAGCTCACGGCATAGGCAGGGGTAAAGTGGTATTTTTTATGAGTGGGTGGCTCACCTCCTCTAGGGGGGTCCGGGGGATGCTCCCCCGGGAAGATTTTTTTTTAAATATTGAAGTTAAATGCATCAATCTGGTGCACTTTGAGAGCAAAATGAAGAGATCTATGGATACCTCTCTCAACACCCATATGAAGCAGAACTGTAAACAGATGTACTTTTTCTTAATGGATATTTTACTAATCACTCCCCTTTTAAACTCTATTCTTGTTTTACTGCCATATAGTATTTCATAACTGTTTTTCCTTTATTCTCTTTTTTATAATAATAATCTTTTGAATAATTTGTGACCAAACCGTTTGAGACCCACTGAGATAACTTAGACTAAAGTTAAATCTAAACACTCAGAGAGTCCTTTAGCTCACCTGAGTCTCTCAGTCTGAGAGGAGAGGACTCTCCTCCAGCAGCTTCTTGTGGAACAAACAGCTCCTTATGTCCGTTAGTGCAGCTAGCTAACCAGATGCTCACAACACGGTCCATGCTGACACCGGACCCTCCCTCCCTCTCTCTCTCTCTATCACACAATGCGCTATTGCCACACACACACAGAGCCGAGCTTGAATGAAACAAGCACACGTTTATTTCCATGCAACTCTCTGATTGGTCTGGTGTCATGCCTCTGTTGCATTCACTGAACACGGGAAATTACAGTGCTGCCGTCCTCTCTTGTGTCATGATGAGGTTCACGTAAAGCACGGTTAATGTATTATATTATTGAGGGAGAATTGTCCGGGGCTACAGAAAAAACATTCGGGGCTACAGCCCCGGATGCCCAGGCCAGGCGACGCCACTGGCTAGACCTATACAATTAATTTATTTTGGTTTATAAATTAATGTCAAGACATTTATGTTATTGATTTCTGAAGCACTTTCTAAATAATAAAAAGAGAGTTCATATGTATTTACTGCATGTATGCATTGATGAAAAATAAGCCATGTGCAGTAATATAGAAAATTGAGGATGCAGCGCATTGGTATGAATCGTGATGCATCGGGATATCGAATTGAATCGAATCGTTAACAGGATAATCGTAATCGAATCGAATCGTGAGACCAGTGAAGATGCACAGCCCTAGTTTCCACTTGGCCTAGTACCGGCCGGCGGGTCCTAATTCACAGTTTTTCTGGCCTCATAAAATCGTGGGTCTAGGGCCAGAGACAACGAGGCTGAGTCGGGCTGAGTATGCTAAACTAGAGAGAGCATCGCTGGCAAGGAGGCTACAACTACAACAAGATGGACATATTTGACCGTGATTTAATTGTAATACACGTTTCAAAATGATGCCGAAGTAACAACATACTGATACCGGTTAGTAAAAACCATGAATTAATGCTTTGACAAGTCTGCAGACAGACGGCAGGCGAAAAACCTTTTAAAATGCGTGTTTTCTAAATGGAGATTGGCTAACGCAGTATATGCTCCGACCGTCCACACTCACAACAACGGCCTATACAGACATAAATAAAGCAGCGACTGTATTCGCCATGACACAGGCAGTCTGTGGTTTGTACTTGTTTAACTTTTGTCTAGTTTCTGAACAGATATGAGGAGCTGTGAGCTCTGAGTGCTAACAGCTAACGGCTGTGTTGTTTTTCTGGGGTTCTCATTGAAGATGACGTCACGGCTCCGCCTACACTGCGTTACTATAGATACTACCCCAGTTCCTAAACTGTAATGGAAATGCGGCCTAGCCATACCGAGCGAGGCCGAGCGAGGCCGTGTAGTGGAAACGCGCCAATAGTGACATCACTAAGTAAAACTCACCCTTCTCGCCTTGCGCTCCAAAACATTGTACGCGATATGCTAAGGGAGGGACATCTCTAAGCAGTTGACCATTCACAACAGAGCTGACCCGCTAACCAATCAGAGCAGACTGGGCTCTGGTTTCAGACAGAGGGTGAAAAGAGGTGCTGCAGCAGAGGCAGTATGAGAACAATAAAGAACTTTTTGAACATTAAAGCATGGAAACATGTAGCAATAGAAGCACAACATACAATATCATCTTTAAAAATATGAAAACTAATTGGAATCAAAATACTAATCTTTACGAGTGGTGAAGAGCTTTCATTTCAAGACTGTACGCAAGAGTGTATTGCAAAAAGACTAAGAGTCTAAAGCAGGTGTGTTTCAGGGGAAAATGTCTATGAATTGGGTAGTCAATGGTTTGATGCCCAGGCCCTGCATTCAACTTGTCAAAGTGTTTCTCCTTTGCTCCTCCTTTACAGTCATTTTCATATAAGTTCTCATCTATATAATGTAGTAATTTGTTTGAGCCAAAACACACATTCTTACCTTATTGAGGATAGATGATTTAACTGTATACTACTTAACTATTTAGGTGTCACCTACATTAATAGATCTATAAAGAGCAAAGAAATCCAGGACAAAAAATTGAGCAAAGTGCTTTGACAAGCTGAAAATAAAACCCAAAACATGGAAGTTAAATCACAAATGAAACATCGTTCATCTTGAAAAAACCAAAGAGATATGTTCTCTCCATTCCCACACTACACATTATAGTTTTAGAGGCTTGTTCAAATTCAACTCATGCTGACAGAAGCTACTTGAACATTGTTATCTTAATAGACTACAGCTAAGTCCCACTTTGAATCTAATCAGCAATTTCCCAAATGCCTCAGTATCTTTTCCTATGAGGGAAGCAGAGGCAGCGGTACTCACTGAGGCTGGGTGCAGTCCTGAAGATTACACATTCTGCGGATCGGTTTCGGCTTCTTGCTGGCGTCGCAGTACCCCCGATGGACCATTTTGGTGTCTCCTTTCTTTCGACATCCATACTTGGTGTACTGAAACCCTGTGAAAGAAGTGAGGACCATTTTGTTTTTTAGTAGGAAAGCGTTCTGTTTGTCCATGGAAAAAGGTATTTCATTTAGTTATTAACCGGAACTTTAAACAACAAACCACCACCAAAGAAGCTCCTTTAATAAAAACAAAAAGTAATATGAAAAAAAAAACATGTTAAATAGCTTCAGCTTAAGAGAATAGGAACCAAAGTAGAGAACATAAATGACACAATCAAATGCTGCCTAATTACAGCAAGAGCAGTGAGCCCATTCATCAGATAATCACATTTATAAAAGAAGGAACCAATTTATTCCTCTCAGGTCCTTTTTAATTTGGTGGTAATTTTTCCTTTACCTCCGGCACAAGGCTTGGAACACGGAGACCAGCTCTTCAGAGCCCACTCAAACGTCTCCTCCTGGATCACGTTGTTGTTGTTGATGGGCACCGAATCTTCATGGATGATGTACTTGTACATTAAAGTAGACCGTGTTTCATTATCTTTGGGTATAATCTGCAAACAATGGAAAGAACGAAAATCAAACAAAACACATGACCAAGGGAGCATCGTGCTGCAGCGTATTTGCATGAAACTACTCTAAGTGTAAATGTGTGCAAATTATTTGATTGGATTTCAGGAAACGAGAGTAATTGAAGAAGCCGTTTCCATAATTTCGTAAACACAAGGTGTAATCGGTTGAAGACTGGAATTATCGGACAATAGGGGAGTCTGTGCTTGAGATAAGACTGAAGCCACTAGGGCATCCACTACGGAAACATATTCTCTCTGATCTGTTTTTCTCTGGATCCGATGTGTTTTACAGAGTTTCTGGAGACTGGAACACAAGGGAGTTCATTTCCAAATGGAAACTTTTGGCAGTATGATATACCCTGCACGAGTATAGAGGCAAAGAACCTCCTTTAAAACTTACTTCAATAACAAAACCTTCAATGTATGCTGGACAGACATACTTTTTATATCGAATAATCCAATAATTCATGGTGAACTTTGTGAGCTTTTGCCAGGATGTGAGATCAAAGTGAGCATGGAAAATAACCGAGCAGACTCACAGTTCAGATGATACCACATTTAGTCATTCCCTTTCTTTTTTTAAGACAAAATGAATGACAAAGGGATGATAATTGTTGTTATTAGAGTTGCGATATGGCCAATAAACTACATAATGAAGATCATAAGATAGCAGTGTTATTTGAACCCGCTCTCAGATTTTCAGTTCTTTGATCGTAACTTTGTGTATTCTTGCGTCACTGTTTGTTCGTATTTCTTTTTCTATACCACAAGATTGTAAATTAAGATTTTAAGGATTAGGTGGTAGAGTTCCAACCATGACCCCTTTGTTCTTGGCACATGTGGGCTCATGATACAAATTGCATATTCAATGTTTTTTCATTTTTACCAACCGAAACATCAATGTGTAACTCCTTCTCCTGTGTCTTTTCCTAAAAGAGGCCCTATTATGCTTTAGATAGATAGATAGATAGATAGATAGATAGATAGATAGATAGATAGATAGATCGTACTTTATTGATCCCACATTGGGAAATTGTTGTTGTTACAGCAGCATAAAAGGCATTTTACAATAAAACAAAACTACAAAATATACAAGAATAGAAAGAAAAATAAAATAAAATAAAATATAAAATATACATGTTGAAATAGAAAATATACATGCAGATATTATATATATATATTCAAAATATATGACATTATGGAATATGGAGTATAAATATTGAACAGATTATAGAGTAAAATGTACAAGGTGGTTTTATTCCAAGAGAAGCTATGGAGCAGAGAGTTCTCTTCCAGCCAGAGGTGATTTGTTGTACAGTGTTATTGCAGTGGGCAGGAATGTTTTCCAGTATCTGTCCTTGTGACAGGGGAGCTGCAGCAGTCTGTTGGAGAAGGAGCTCCGTTGACTGTCCAGCTGCAGGTGGAGAGGATGGGTTAGGTTATCCATGATGGACAACAGCCTGTTCAGTGTCCTCCTCTCCACCACAGCTTCAAAGGGGTCCAGCTTGAGGCCGATGACTGACCCAGCTTTCCTGATCAGTTTATTGATCCTGCTGGTGTCACCGTCTCTGATGCTGCCCCCCCAGCAGACCGCAGCAAAGAAGAGTGCACTAGCCACCACAGACTGATAGAAGATCTCCAGCATCTTACTGCATACGTTGAAGGATCTCAGCTTCCTCAGAAAATAGAGTCGGCTCATCCCCTTCTTGTACACAGCGTCAGTGTTGATCCTCCAGTTCAGCCCATTGTCTAAGTGCACTCCCAGGTACTTGTAGACCTCCACAACTGCCACATCCTCTCCTAGAATTCACAGGGGCAGAGGAGGAGATGTCCTCTTCCTCCTGAAATCAATGACCATCTCTCTGGTCTTGGCCACATTCAGAAGCAGATGATTTCCACCAGTCCACTCAACAAAATAAATATTTACCTTTATGGGGTTTTCCCTTTCCTGTAGTGTGTTATATAGATTTGTGTGCATGTAAATGGTCTGCAAAGGCTAAAATCCCAGGCAGTATGAGAAAAATAAACATTAAAGTTTGAACATTAAAGCATGTAAACATGTCACAGTAGGGGAACAAAATACAAATATGAACCTGAAAATGAGCATATGTCCTGTTTAAAGTGAATAACTCAAATATTTAATGTTGAACAAACTGTTTCTATAACAAAATAATCTATCTATCTATCTATCTATCTATCTATTCCATCATTTTCACCCTACAAATTAAAAACACATCAGTTGCACGGTCTATAAAACAGCCGTCATTACAAGACTTTGAAACTAGACATACATTTAGTAAATATTGATAGGATAATAACAGATGTATGAGATAAGGAGGGAGAATTTAGCAGGAAAGGGAATCTGGGCTGTTCAAAGGCTGTGCCTCTGTGTTGATATAATCATAAAGTAGATCTTTTTGATAGCATTTATATGGAGTTTGCAGCAGATTAATTTCACATAAAACTATTTACTCTGAGTTACATCACTCACTAGAAAAAACACAAAAGCTACATTTTTCCTAAGCATTTAATGGCTTGTCATTATCTGTGAAAGCAGACATTTAATTGCTTGTGTGTAATGGGACATTACCAGTTGGGACGACTCACTAAATACCAATGCTGTGCTTCATCATTTATGAATGAGGAATCATGAATGCATTACACATGAATATAACGTTGCATCCAATTTGTGAAACTGATCTGTTTTGACCTGCAACAATGTATTTATATACTCCACTTACTGCCAAATTAAATATGAATAATTATCTGAATGATTTACCCTCCTTTCTAAGATTGCTTCTAAGAAAAATATGCTGTTAGTGAGAAAACTGTAAATTAACTTCTGTAAAATGGCCTGTTCTCCTCAGTGTTCCAATACATATGTCTGCAATCATTGTTTGTAATCATGTGTTATAATATGGAGCGCACATAAAAGGTAATTTATTTAATCCTGCTACATGTGAGTCGTAGGAAAGTAGAGTCGGTATCCCTGGGGGAAAAAACAATAATGTGTAATGAGAAGGAAACACAAGGTGAGATTACGAGGGTGAGTGTGTGTGAGCACTACACATCTCTAATCAAATGTAAACTATAATAAAGACGTTAATCAATAATGGCACCTAAAGCCCTGAGGAATAGAAATGAGAGATCACTAAACAGAAACAAGACAAAAACACATTTCTAATCCCATCAAAGCTCCTTTTGTCAGCTACATATCAATTCATTTCTTCTGGAGCGAAACAGACAGAACACTTGAAACCTTTGAAGTCTGTCAAGACACTCCTTGCATCATCATATTGCAATGGCTTCCAGAAATTATTTTATAATTCTTTTACTAAGTTCTTAATGGTTTGGCACCCTCATATATCACTTATATCATTCTCTGTTTCCTTATGTCCCTGGTCGAGCCCTAAGGTCTCCTCAGCTGCTTTTGAACATTTCCTAAAGTCACCCAAAATAAAATGGGCGAAGCAGCTTTATGTACGCACTTACACGGTCAAATTCAGTGGACAGCTGAAACATATATTTTTATTTTAGCTTTTTATTAGCAATACCCCCCTTTTGATTGGTCCTTTAATTATTCTTATAATAGTTTTTTTTATAATGTTTTATTTAGTTATTTATTTTATAGTTTTTATATTTCTTTGTATTTATTCATTTTGTCTAATGTCCTCCTTTGTTTTACTGAGAAGGTTATGCTTTGTTTTTGGGTTGTGTTTTTACGCTGCCTACAGTGAGTTTCTTTCTGTTTTAATTTGTGATGTGTGCCATGTAGTTAAAGCACTTTGAGCTGTACGAGAAATGGTACACAAATAAAGCATGATTATTATTATTATTAGTTTGATCTATTTGTTAAAGTGCTCATTATCCTTTAGATGTGTATTGTGTAATATCCTTATTCAGACCTGACATGTTCGTTAAACAAAGAGTACCTTCGATAACAACGATAGGGTAAGAATTAAAGGCATAAAGAACGTTTGTTTTCTGTTTCTTCAAATGCTGCAACACTTTTCATGTACTGAGCCAAAAGTGACTTACTGCTCCAATTATGCAAATGCTATTACATTTTAATCCTGCTTAACCTTGGCTGTTGAAAGAGTGGAGCAACTTAATATAGAAAAACAATGTTGCTTAACCAACTCATTTAGTCAACCAACAGCACTTTTACAGCAAGTATTTTAAAAGTCCATTAATTCAACATTTTATTCAAAATGGGCATTCAGGGTTTCAGCTGCTGAGAATTAAGTTTTCTCTGTTTAATGATTGGAATATGAGGGTTTTTTTGGACTAAGACTCTTGGTTTGACCAAAATAAGGCTTCGAATGGTGTCAACTCAAACACTAGGAAATAGTTGTAAGCAAGAAAAAAATCATCAAGCTGAATAATTTCAATATTCTTCTTTCAAGATTCTTGAAAGTCTCCTCTCTTTCACAGGGCTCATTTTCAAGCAAAGAGGATCTTAGAAAATGGAAGTACAAGCAGTAATAGAGAAGGAGTTGTAATTACCAGAACCACCACAGGGTCGTGAAGAGGTCCGTCAGTGTGCAGAGTCTCCACCTCGTCCTCAATGATGTAGTGCCACTCCACGCCCAAGTCAATGAAGCTTCTGGACTTTACTTCCTCTCCTTTCCCGTTGAGGATGTAATGCCCCGTTGCCTGGTTCTTGATTGCTGCAATCATTCGTTTGGTTATGACCCAGTGACAAAGAAACCTGGCACTTGCTTGGAATGATTATGGCTGAAAGTTATAATGGGTTATTCATGCAGTACATTTATGGAGAACAAGCGCCTGAACTTCTTATATAATACAACTTCTACGACCTGAGGCTGAAATGAGGATTGGCATGTTACCTAACTGCTTTAAATATATCTGATGTAAATCAGTTGCAATTAAAAGATGTCAAAACAACCCGAATTGTGTCTGCTAAAGATCCTTCCCTCCTGCTCCAGTGCAGATTATAACAGATTAGTCCATCGAGTGAATAAAACAACAACAATGCTTCAACTTCTCTTCAACTTTCACATAAATGCAGAGTTGACAGCAGGAAATAAGAAGCCACTAGTTCTTGAAATAAAGCAAGTAAGAAATATCTTCAAATTGATCCATCAGCACATGTCATTTCAAAGTGAATGACAGTGACAGGAAAGATGGATGCGATAGAGAAACTACAGAAAAGGAATAATTGTAATGCTGCAGCTAAATATTTCATTAAGAGTTAGATGTTCACCCTAGATGAAATCTTAATAAACACATTTCATTTTGTCACTTTTTTCTTCTATTCTGCTCCAGCAACCACATCTCACGGAGTTCACAGTCGATGTATGGGGACAAAACATTGGATTTCCTAATTATATATAGAAAGTCAACTTTAGGGTGACTGTATCTGCGAGGGAGTGCGGTCGTCTTTCAACAAGAGGATTGCGGGTTCGATCCCAGCCGTTGCAGTCAATAATGTCTATGTAACCTTGCGCAATATATTTCACCCTGAGTTGCTACCGCCTACGGCTGTGTAACAAAATGAGTTAAGTGCTCTTTACAAGAACGTTAATGGTGAGTGATGAGGAAGAATCAAATATGAAGCAGTGCCCTGGACAGCTCCCTCAATCAGCCTTGTTTGACACATTTGAATTGGTACATTTAAAAAATGTACATAACACAATTTACTCAATAATCTGTGTCGAGTTTTCTTTTGTAAGTTTGACATGTTGAGTATCCTCCATATGAAATAATGAAAAGTATGCCTTCACTGTGCTGAAAGAAAGGGGCCTATTCAGGGTGTACTGCAGGGGGACTTACGTGTTTGTTACTGTACTGATGTAGTTACTGCTTTACGCATGTCACATACGTGGTAGTTAACCCCCGCCCTGACCTCCTACCTATGCAGTCATTGTCACTCTTTTTATTACTGTACCTTAATTCCTCCTTTGATCCCTTTCATTATCTTTGTATTTGCTGTGAATGACCTGTGGGTGTGTTTCCAAGGATCCTCACTCGCCTGCCTTTGTTCCTGCTTGTCTCCTTCCTACCTGCCATCCTCCAACCTCACACCACGCCCCTTTCTTCCCTGCTGCCACTAGATTCCCATTCCCCCTCATCCCCTGATCCAGATCCCCCTCTAGAATGATAGTACCGGTAATACTTTCTTACCACCACGACCCATTTAACAGACGACTCTGCTTTGTGATGACAGAGGCCATTTCCTCTGGCACAGTCCAGCTCTCTCCTGAAGCACACAGCCAATATTGCTTCTACAGGAGCAGCTGACCGCTCTCTGGGCCTTTCAGCTTCATGATAACAAAGGAGAATGCTCCATCAAAGGCCATTAAAGCTAGCGCCAGAAAGTGTGTGAACTGTTATTGTTATACTTTTTAAGGATTATAGATTAAGGGAGTTTGTGTGTTAAGTGGAGGGGTTCCAAATCTGTGGGCCTTACAGCAGCTGATGAAGTGATGGTAACAATGTAGGAAGTGAATCATGTTGTTATTGGGCAACAAAATTGCATATCAACGTACTGCTTACTTAATAGTTACTCTAGACTCTATGAAAACCTAAAAAAAGTAGAATATTAAAAGTGTTTAGAATGGCCCAAAATCTCATACGACTGATGGCATCCTTTGGGTCCACAAAATCCGTGTGGGAGACAAACTCCCTCTGGAGGGAACTTTGGTATTATAGCTTTTTTAGACCACTTACATGCACAACATCCTATATAACACACTACAGGAAAAGGGAAAACCCAAAAAGCATAATAGGGACTCTTTAACATACAAGTGTTTTGGTTACAGTCAGAAGATGGAAATTGTAATTGTAATTAGAAATTGACTAATTAATGGTTGGAAGAATACCACCAGTCAAAAAGTTAAAATCTACCTCAGAGACCTGTATTCTCTCTCAGACATGCTGTAGCTGAGGCTCATGAATTCACTAATGAGATAACTATTGCTATTATACTGCAATCCAATACACATCAACCTCTTGACACCACTATTGGAGTGAATGAGGCTGGAGGTTTTTTTAATAGAACTAAATAAGGTGGGGTTTAAAAGCTTCTATTAACACTAGATTGCAATTTAAAGCGGAAATAGACCCAATTTAGTTTTTAAGTTATTACTTTGAAGTAAATGTTTCTGGCACAATGTAATTACCTATTTGCCACACTTTCACTAAGCAATTTGTATGCCTAGCAGTGGTTGTGTTGGTAGCAGCAAAATATGGATTACTTCGAACAGCATTGGGAATGAATTAGTAAATAATGTATCTGTATATATTACTAGCTTTCTCACTAATCGTCTGAATAAGTCGCTAAGTAGAATGATCCGAGGAGATGGCAGCACCAACACTAATACCACTTGGAACTACAAGGGGAAAGTTGTCCTCATTGCTACTTAAAGGATGAGGTTCAAACTTGGTTTGTACAGAATTTAAGCTTCTATGCGTATTTGAAAAACACAAATTAGCAACAGCGTTTCAGTTGTAACAGCTGAGCAGTTTTTGAAAGTAGTTTGCTTCCTCTCAGTTGCTTAAAGAGGCCCTATTATGCAAATGTATACAATTAATAATTGTATTTTGTGCATCTACCGTCACATGTTTATATGCAATGTTCAAAAACTGCTTTAGTTTTTAGAGAGCCCAGAGCCAAGTCTGCTCTGATTGGAAAGCTGGCCAGCTTGTGATTGGTCAACCGCTTAGAGATGTCCCTCCCCTTAGCTTATCCCGTTCAATATGTTGGAGCGCTAGTAGCGCTAGCCAATGGAAGCGCAAGTGTTAGGTAATGATGTCACTTTGTTACGGAAGTAAACAAAGGACTACAATCAAGGTGTTTCAGGCAGGGGGGGGGGGGGATTTGGGATTTAAGGATTTGCACACTATTTACAAATAAAACTAAAAAGTTGTGACTGTCTTAAAACCATCCTTCTCATTATATAGAAACAACAATCAGTGTCTTTCCAGTACCAGGCCATCCTAACAATACTTGCTTGATTGTCAGTGATCTGATCTGATTGGTCATTAAGCTGGCAAAGATAGCTCTGCCTGTCAAAGCTTTTCAAGGAACCCACTGACACACGCGAGGAACATTACGGGCATGACCAATTACTCTAAGCTACTGACTCATTCATTTTCATCCTTATCAGGGGGGGCCAAGACCTTGACTACGGCTTTGAGACGCCTCATACTGAACTCAGAGTTTTAAGAAATAGAAGGTGACTGTCAATATATCTTGGTGTTGGTTCAGCAGACATAGTGAACACTGGCTCCTCTAACGTCTTTATATCAGATAGTAATACCAAAGCAGGAAATAAAAAAAGATGAACTTGATGGCTGGAGACGGACAAACTCAACTCAATATCACTTCAATGCATGCAGAACAAAAAGTGACTGTTTGGCTATTTTCTACTGAGACAAGGCTCACTTTTCTTTAAGTCCGCTGAAGCAAATGTCTGATACGTTGGCTATATAAATAAGACTGGCTTGACTTGAATGACATTTAAACTCAGCGAGGGGAAACATTTCTCCCTTCGAAGAATGACTAATGTGACAAGCTCCTTTTATAAAGGACACGATTCACAGTTTTTTGTCCTCTGCAGGGACACGATCTTCCAATCATAGCTTAGCAACTGTCACTAGGCAGCATGACAGTCGAGCTTTGAAAGTCACCGAAAGTTGAACGGCCATTATTAGGTGTCACGATTCTTGGGAGATAAGACAGAATTCCCTGTGGAGGAATGTAACTAAAGTTTATTCTACTCAACGGTAACTACTGTATAGGGTATTTTTCAACCAGAGCTATCACAATATCTTACCAGCATCAACACTTGTACCTACCCTCAACGATTGATACTTTGATTCAGAAGACAGTGGTTTGGTCAGGTAAGGTTTACCTACAACAACTACTTAATTAGGGTTAGGACAATAATGTTGTTTAAGTTGAAATGGTGACTATGATAAGATATAAATAATAACTACTTAGTTTAGCTGCTCTTTTGATGATAGGTAAAGAGCAGCTAAATACATGTTTTACTTATTAGACCCTTATACCCAAAGCGACTTACATACGCTCAATTCGGTGGACAGTCCCCACAGGAACAATTTCGGATAAAGTGTCTTGCCCAGGGACAATGCAACATGCTGACTGCTGTGGGGGTCCAGGTGGAATTGAACCAGTGTCAGCGCACTAATCCACTGAGCCTCCTGTGGCTCAGATAGCTAAACTATCACTACGGCTAGCAATCTAATTTGCTAGCGTGTTTGATGACCCTTACTGGTTGTACGAGCTATTACAATGTTATCTGTTCCATCACACTGGCTATTGACTTAACAACAGTATAAAACATTTCAATAGAAAAATGGTATGATAAATACATTCAGGCTGATTTTATTATTAGAAAAAAAATAATGTTCATTTATATTTTCCCTGCATCAATTGTTGTAAAGGATTATTTTTTCAGGGTATCATTACATGTGGTTTTCAAAATCTTCATTGGGAGATATGTTTTTATGACAATTCATCCTAGATATAATGTATTATTTTGGAGCAGTAGGTTTTTCTTGAGTCTCTAGTTTTAGTTTTGGTATCATTATCTCTGAGCTGCACTTGACAGCGTTCTTTTACAAGAACAGTTGTCTTTTTCACCTTTTTTAGTTTGACCTTTGTTTCCGCTTCAATTTGACAAGTTAACAAGGCTACAGAAAAATAGCCCTTCAATGCTATCGTCTGTCTCTGTTGGTCACTTGAGCCGGTCCAAATCAAGAGTATGGATGAGAGCAGCGCTCCGTCACTGCCTGGCGAAATGGCGGCCACACCCACTTTCCAGTAAAAACAACGGTCAGCAATATCATGCCTAAAAGCTGCTGTGAAAAATATATATCAGTGCCTGCAGTCCTCCACGGAGAGAAGGAAAAGCACAATCAATGGGACACGGTCAGTCAATATATGTACGCCTGTGGCATACACTTCATCACGGCTGAACTATGATGCCAATGAGTTTAAAGTCAATTGTCAGAGTCAGAACATTACATCAGTTGTAATGTTAAAAGTCAAAGTAGTAAATATACATAACACTGATTAGCTGTCCACTGGCACTGACCGGACATCAATCCCCTATTGATTTATATTAAACTATAAACCTATGGTGATCATCTCCAAAGACATTATGTAAAGTTGTCTTTTTGACCATTGTAATTGGGCTCTTTGCAGATTAGACTTTGGACGGTATTCGTAATGTTTTAATGTAATTGGCGAACTCTTCAGAATTGGTATTTTCTGCCAGTCAAATGACAGCAAATGTTTTCACTGAAAAAGGGGCGATGACTTACAGTAGAGGGAAAGTAACCGGATTGGCTGCTCTCATCTATAGTTTTGTTGAAACGTGTATCCACCCTGGACTTTGTGGCTCGATAATAAAGCTGTGGCCTTATTCCTCCTCTGCTCTCAAAGTTCAGTTACAGTATAACTCCTTTAGACACTGCAGGGTTTATAACTTCAACATGAACAGAGGTCAAAATAATGCATTTAACATAGCCGTTTCTACAAAACACATAGATCACAGTTCCTCTCCTCTGAGTCTGTTCAAAAGATCCCAGGCACAATCCTGCAGCTTTAATATGAATATTAAGATATTCCACTCTGACTAATGCCATGTTTCTATTGGCGTGGTCATGAACAAAGCGAATGTACTAGATTATAAATGTGAATTCCCCTTAACATAGTAGAGAAAATAGTAATGCTTAAACAAAACTGCAGTGCCATTCTTCTGGCAGTGAGAGAACCCACTTATCTATTGATCTCTCTATAATATATAATAAATTATGAATGAGCAATACGAAGACTGATTCTCTCTGCCTGAGAGGTGACATGGAATAAATTATGCAAAGCCTCACATCTATTATTCTACATTATGTGTTCCCATTAGTCTTCCTGGAAAACAAGAAGAGGATGTTGACATGTCCTCTCTGATTTCATACAGTACATGTGTTGGTGTTAGGAAGGCACACTTACCAAGAATTTGAGGGGAGGCCTCATGTTCTTGGATCATCACATGTCTAGCTCCAGGAGGAATGAGAAACATCTTAAGGTAACCTTTGCCAAGTTTGTAGCGGCAGCAGAAGCAGATGAGGGAGGGTTAGGAAAGAAAAGACACACACAGGTAAGTTAAGCAGATACAGAGAAAATATTTGTTTGCAGTGGTGGACATCACGCATGTTTCAGAAGTGTTGCTCGACAGAGAAGAAAATGGTAAAATGTCTCCTTCAATAGAAGCCTACAGGTATTTGTTTTTATTGAAACAGGCTGTTCATTCACATCTATCTTTTGCGTCATCAAAGGACTCTTAGCAATGTCAACATATTATTTTGTTACTATTACATAACTCAAGATATCCCTTAAAAAAACTCTCCATTCCTTTATTTTGAATATACGCAGACAGGATGGGAATGCCTCAAGCCATGTTTCAATAAAGCGTGAAGAACAGGGTATTTTCGGACTACAGGGCAGCAAAGTGGCCTTCTGTCAGGGATGTCCACCGCCTGCAAACCTACCATGACTCACCGAGTACATTTCTAGAGTCTTCCGTCTCATTTAAATACACATTTCGGGCTCCTTTGGGCAAAGAGAAGGCTCCTCTGGTCTTCCCTTCAAAATGAAATGAATCAGTTAGTGAGTCTCGCAGTGTTTCCTCCCGTATCCAATTTGATCATTTCTCTGCAACATCACCTACAGTGGAGGCACATTTAATTAGCATAGCAGGGAGCAGAGCATTTCACATCGGATGAGGCGGCAACCTATTTTTTTTCCCTGGCAGACTAACACTTGACAATCACCAGGACTGAATTGCCGTGCTGTAATTACTCGCCCTTGGATTTGACAATGGACGCCTCCTGACGCAGACGATGATGATTATGAATGCGCTGGCACACTGTCGCAGTGTTCACACGGGGTCACAACAGGTGGCAGACCAGGGGAAGCTGCTCACTCTGCTGTGTGTTTGAGAAAATAAATGGCAATGTACCTTTCGGAAAATGGCAAAAGATGCCCTCTTCGCTGAGAGAACATTTTGTAATAGCAGCCAATTTCAGAAACCTCAAGCCACTCAATAGAAATAACAATTTGATCACATGGCTTTTTGTGGACTGATTGGAAAAACTGCACACAAGCGAGCTTTCTAAAAAAGACCACTTTGGATGTGAGGGGTTGAATGGAGCATCAGCATGCCAGTTGAGGCTCAATCAATCAACGTTTAAATAGCCAACAACATCCCAGATTACCTCCAAAAGTCTGTCAGTTTGTTTGATGACTTTTTTTGTCTGCACAAAGACCTCTAAAGTTAGTTTGTTAGGCTGTTGAAGCAATTTACATTAAGTGATAATACATACAAAAACAACATCTCTGGATAATGAACCTGTCACAGTTCCCACAGTCAGACCTAAACAGACGCTTGATTAGTAACAAGGAACAGAAGAAACAGCAGATTACATCACTCTTGTCTCTAAGTCACTACAGTGTTAGGCATCCATCTGCTCTACAAGCTGCACAGTAAATGCTATAGGACAGCAGTAATGGAGTATTCAGTAACACTGGATACTTGCATATTGTGTTTTCCAACAAAGGGCTTTCTTTTTGGGCTCTCTTGCTTAAGTGTTTCCCTGTTAAAAAAGGTGAGGGGTTAAAAGAGAGAGTGATGTGAAGAAACAAATTATGAAATGGATTGATAACAGTTTCAACAATTCTGAAACGGTTTAATAATGAAGCCGTCACGTCAAATCCCTCACAACGTCAATTTTCATTTGATTGACTTTATGACATCACGTCACATGGATAATGGTGTAATGGTAATATAGTGATGACAGATGAGGCTGGCATCAGAGGTGGTTACTAGAAGGCATCATGAAAACGTTAAATTAAATGCACGTGTCGTTTGTTATTTTCTCATGCTGGAGGTTAATGTGAAAACACATTTTTCACAAAGAAAATGAATCACTTACTCACACTCATTCAGCTTAACAACGCAAAGTAAGTTTTGTTACAGACAAAACACCCATGTGTGAGTGTGTGTGTGTGTGTGTGTGTGTGTGTGTGTGTGTGTGTGTGTGTGTGTGTGTGTGTGTGTGTGTGTGTGTGTGTGTGTGTGTGTGTGCGCGCCCTGTATGGCTGCAGAGGGGAGATAACCTAAAGGAAGCAGCCTCAATTGAAGAAGTTTGTACGAAGAGAAGGCACACTGTCTGAACTAACAAACTCAATAATAAGAAGAGAAACTAATATGTGAAATGAATAAAAAGGGGCATAATTATTTTTCTGCTAATTAATAAGGTTCTTAATCCAAAACAAAAACAAATGTGACAGCTGACAGATACTGTGGCTTTTCCCGCTCCCTGTAGATTTATTTATTAGCTTTGAATGCAATATTCTGCACATTAACAAAGATAAATGACATAGCGATCTGTAGAGTGTGGACGCCATAGTGTCGTGCAGTGATTACATATTTGTGTAGGCCGACCCGGAAGTTAGCGCCACAAGGGCTCATTTGACAAAAAGGAATGGTCTTTTTCCTTTTGTTTTTGGAGTATTGCAGGAAGCAAGATCTATGGCAAACACACGTTTATAATACTTACACATTTTGTTCAGCAGGATAGTCCGCGCATTTCAACACCTTTATGGTGTATAGCGTAAATGCAATCGGCAGTAGTAAAAAGCTAATGTTTGGCTTGAAACAAACAACATCACGATTCCATGGCTGTGCATCACTACCGCTAAGCTAAAGCCGGCTAATGTTTGGTGTGATGACGTTTAGTATTTAGTACTTTAGTACTCAATCAGCCACTTTTTTGCAAACGCCATTTTTAAAAGACATGGAAGATTTGAACACTCACCAGTGTGGTATTTACTTAAGGATTTTATGTCTTAGAACAAAAAGTGGAAATCTCCTAAGCTTGTGTTAACCACAGATCTTATTTCACATGTTGAAAAAAACATTGATTTTGAGACTTTTTCAGAAATCATACTGGGATTAGGTTTCACATGTTAAAAGGAGTAAAACAAGAGTGCCACTGAAAAAAGATTACTAAAGTGCAGCATGGACAAAGCTGCACTCCACTCACAGGCATGTGTACTGGTTTCATGTTTTCTTACCAGGTTTCTTTGGTGTTCGGGTGAAGGATCCTTTCACGGTGCGGCAGTGGGAGTTGTCCCCACCACAAACACCACATTTGTCTTCAACTTTGGTGGAGCCAATCTCTCTGTCGCAGCCGACATTCTGCAGACCACGAACATAACCAGACAGATGAGTTGAGATTCGTTTTGGACTTGTTAAATATACAAAGTGGTTTTACAACAAGGCTTCGTAATGAGATTATCAGTGCTAAATGGAGACGGAGTTGTGTAAATCTGATTGTGTTTTGAATACATATGTTATACAGATCCAGCAGAGCATTCCAAAGCATACTCTTTTTGGTGGAAAGTACTTTGAACATTTACTCAAGTACTATACTTAATAACCATTTTAAAGAACTACTTATGTATTTCTATATTATGCTACTTCATACTGTACTTATAATTAAATACATTACTGCGGAAGATTTGCTTTTACCTCGACACATGTATCTGATAGCTTTATAAACTTTGCATGGTCTGATTATTAATAAAATAAAATAATAAAATAAATGTTGATGCATTAATAAAGATTAAGCTAACCAGCAATATATAAAGTAATTGAGGCAACAGCAGATGGACATTTACCATCAGCAATTTTAAAGTGATAGAAACACAAATTGCATCAATTATTTTACAATTATAAAATAACAAAAATAATTTAAAAAGTGTTATTATGCATAATGAGGACTTTTCCTTTTTACACTCTTGGTATATAATTTCGTACTTTTCTTATATACAATTGTATTGCAACACCTGTACGTGTACACGGTTGTATTGTTACTTTAACTAAATGTAATATATTTGTATACTTACTCACAACTCTTTCTCCATGAGATGCAAGGCAGACACAGGGGCAAGGCAGGGCCCTATTATGCTTGTTTTTCAGGTTCATATTGTTTTTTTTGTGCCTCTACTGTGACTTGTTTACAAGCTTCAGTGTTCCTCTGGGGGGAACTTGGTATTAAAGCCTTTGCAGACCATTTACATCCATCACATATATGAGACAACAGGAAAGAGAAAATCCCCAAAAGCACAATAGGGCCCCTCTAAATGTTTCACTGCTCCTACAAAGTGCATCTAATTTTCTCCAAATGTGTTATTAAACACAGTTTTACCAAGCAAATAATTTGTAAGCATTTGTGGTTTTATGACTATTAGTTGCCAAATTCTTGTTGCTGTGACATACGTATTTCCGTGACCAAGACTTGTATCTTCGTATGTACTTATGTGTACATTGACATTCTGCTTTGATTAATTTCAGTAAGGAGGGAAATGTCAGATTTTAGACTCCTGGTTCTACGCAGCATGTGCAAAGTTAAACCTGTTACTGATCGGTTTTCCAACATCACACTTTGTCTACATTTTTATAGATTTAAAATACAACTTTTACAACGTCAACATCATGTAGTTTAACCACATGCTTACCACACATTCTCCCCGTACGCAGATGCTGTAGGCGTCTTTGTAAGAGCATCGTGTCCCATCATGCACCAGCAGCTTCATGTAGGCCACGTCTGATGTCTCCTTTGACTGGCAGTACAGGTGGCATCTCTTGTTAGCTACAGGAAAACACATTATAAAAATGTTGTGGAAAGCAAAATCCAACTTAGAGAAAGATTGATATTTTGAAAGACTTTCAAAGATGAATGTGTTGTATTTACATAATGTCTAAACACTTAAAAACATAAAATATGCACAATTAGATCCAGACTTTCAAAGGGTAAAAGGGAAAAATGAATCTCATTAAATATACATCTCTTTATGTTGGATAGTTTAATAGCTTGTTTTTCAATTGGCTGGATTGACCTACATTCTTTATTATTTTGCCGAAGAACTGACACAATGTCCCACTGCTTTTGCTGCGGAGATTACATCTATCTTGCAATTTACACCCACCAACATGTCAATTCTGACAGGCATCGACAGGCATCCTCTCAGAGCAATAATGGCCAATTCGAAGTGGCATATTATATGCAAAACTTCCTCTACAGTATGTAACCTTTACACAGCGAGATATGCGCTCCAACTTGGCTAGAGTAAAAAAACATCTTCAAAGGTTGTGATGATTAATCACAGGCATTGCTCTCTCAGTTGCTGAACTTCTAAAACACAATGGGAGTTTCACAAAAAGAAAAACAAACCGCTATAAATAAATCAACTCCTGAGCTCCGTGCCTTCACAACTTCATACCATTCATCCGTTTGCATCTCATATATTTATCCATTATTACAATAAGCAATATTTAATTTCACTGTACAGCATTTAATCTTCTTTTTCTATCTTAATCTATTTTACTTGCATATAGTTTACTTCTCCTGCATTAATTGAACATAAGTCTTGAAACATTCTCTTGCAATATTTTATTTCTACTCTGATTTTGTTTTATGTCGTATATATGTTTATGTTGCATTGAAGGAGGAGCCTCTGACTTAAGTGTTTTCATTGCATATCTACACTGTAGCTGTGGATATGACAATAAAGCCCTTTCAACCTTTGAACACAATAGGAGTTTTGTAAATCCATCACCACTGAAACTCTCTCTACCCTGACCAACTGCCTGATTGAAACAAAATCCTGGATGCAATGCTACTACCTCAAACTCAACTATAAGACATTTGGCATGCTCATCATTGGTCCCAAATCCCTCAACAAAACCAATAATAACTTCTGCTTCACCATTGAGGACTCCATTCTTTCTCCCTCCATACACATCCGCAACCCTGGAGTCATTTTCGACAGCAACCCGACTTTTGAAAACCATATCAACCACATCACCAAAACCGCCTTAAAAATATAGACCAACAAAACGAACCTAATTAAACTAAAGTATATTCAGAACTCAACTGACCATCCCCTCAAACCCGCTCCCATGACCACATCACCACTCATCTGCAGAAACTCCACCATTTGTCCTCATTTTAAAACATTAATCAAAACTCACCTCTTCAGAGCTGCTTTTAATGTGCAATTCATTTTGTGTATCTTATGACTTAGGTCTTATATTTATAATTTATTTATGAATTTGAATATGTATCTGTAAGGATATCCTGTCTTTGAGTCTTTTTAAAAGCACTGGGGTGGTGCTTTTAAAAGAAACTCTTTATATAGGTTTGCACACAAACCTATATAAGACACTACAGGAAAAAAAAAGCCCAAAGCATTATAGGGCCCCTTTTCCAAATTGTATCAGGTGTTTATGTACTTTTATTGAATTTAGATTCTGAGTTGTAGTGAAGAGCAGGAGCAGAAGACACCAAGTGTTATCCTTATCCATTGGATTTTTGCTATAATGGTGATATTGAACAATGTTAGACATACAAGAAAATAAAAGCCCTTTTTCCTTCATTACGTCTCCATTTTCTCTGGATTGGTAATATAAATAGATTCCTATTCCTAACCTTTTTACCTTTCAAAGTAGACAAAAGAAATGCATATACTGTTAGCTATATGGTTCAAAAACTATCCCCGATTCATTTATGCTTTATTATTAAAGTAAATTACCCTTAGGGCAAAGGCCAGAATAACCTCACTCTACACTAATTAATATAATCTTGTACAAAAGGCCTTTTTTATTTATTTTTTTTTTATTTCTATTGAACGTAATAACTGGGTCTAAATGTAAAAATACTCTCAACTATGCAGGATAGCTCGTTAGCTTCCATAGAACAACGTGCTCCCACTTTACATTCTGGCAGCCTTCATAGGGTTTTCTTACTTCTTTTCCACATGACTGACTGGGGGAACACAAAACAATTGAAGTGCAGGAGGTTGGAAACTGCTCCATGGAGTGAAGCCAGAAAAAGCTAATTCTGATAAAGAAATTAAAAAAAGATGAACGTTTTATATCTGCACTATAAACACCCATCATCTTTACAAAAAGGGGCGATTTTGAGCGTGGATGGCTTTAAACGCTGCATGCTGGCATAGTTATAGGAAGATGAACAAATGTAAAACAATAGAAGAAAGAAAATACAAAAAAACTGTTAAAAAAGTTCAGAAAAGGGTCTGTTTGATAATGTCCCTTAAACGGCTGGGAAATGTTTCGAATGTACAATATGTTTCTTTCAGTTCTTGCTGTCAGAATGCAGATGCCCTTTCCTTGTAGACTTTCTTTGTTCTTTCTTGGCCTAGAAAAACCTTGAGAAGTCTCGCGTTAAAACAAAATTATCTTTTGAAATGTTTCTGGCTTACTGTCAGGATGTTCGTAGGGCAGCCAATGGTGTTTGGCATTTTGGAATTCAAAGTGGGAGTTGCGGAGCTGGCACTGCTGAGCTCTGAAATCCTCGAAGTGCTTTGGGCAGTCGTCAGAGTTGCAGAGCTGATACTCGAAGTTCACTCCTGGGCAGTCCTGGCCGCCGTTGGAGGGCCTGCAGGGGGGGAATAGTAAGCAGTACTTTGAGACCACAATGTGACAACAAATCCTGCTTAACCCTAAAATGGACAATCACATATAGATATTATGAAAAATGTATTGATTGCTTTGTTCTACATTACACTCATATTACGATGTTACGTCACCCATATATTGTATTGATATATTAATACATAGACACAACCTGTCAAATGACTGTTTCCCACACAATATAGAAATCATTTTATGGTTAATGTGTGATGAGAAAACATGCATAAAAGATTGGCGTTACGTTTAACATTGCACCTGTAATGCTCTGTCAGAGTTTCCTATTTTATTTTGAATGGGGTTTTGCACCCCGTGTGTGTTTTTACTTCATGCCTGTTTTCCCGCCTGTTTGATTACAAGCTCAATTTCACCTGCTGCCTTTTTCTAGAAGTTGCTTACATTGTTTATTTGAACCCCAGTGTTATTTGTATATGTCATTAATAATGATTGACTGCCAAGCCTACAAAGAACAATTAAATCTGACAATAAAAGTTTGTCTTTCTAAAGCTGTTAAGCAATTACAACAGAATAGTGTGCACATTACACTTTAAAGACTTAAGGGTTGATCAGTGAACAGGAGCAATTTCTCGTTGAGTTAATGAGTAGTGTCTAGCTTTAGGTCTCCTTCATGAAGGTGTGATTTATTATATGCCCATACTGTACGTAGTTGTAACAGTAGTGTTAATCACTCTGCAAGAAAGTCAATAATTCTATTTTCAAAAATGTCAAACGATTCCTTTAATATAAGGAGACTAATGGGGCATTTCCACCATGGCGCGGAGCGCGGTTTAAGCGTGCCGTGTCGTGCCGGGCCCGTTTTTGGTTGCGCTTCCACTAGGCCTAGTTCCGGCCCGGGGGTACTTTTTCACCTCTTTTCTGGCCCGACAAAATCGTGGTTCTATCGGGGCCAACAAACAGGGCTGAGTCGGGCTGAGTTTGCTAAACTAGAGAGAGAATCGCTGGCAAGGAGGCTACAACTACAACAAGATGAACATATTTGACCGTGATTTAATTGTAATACACGTTTCAAAATGATGCCGAAGTAACAACATACTGATACCGGTTAGTAAAAACCATGAATTAATGCTTTGGCAAGTTTGCAGACAGACGGCAGGCGAAAAACCTTTTAAAATGCGTGTTTTCTAGATGGAGATTGGCTAAGCTAACTCAATATATGCTCCGACCGTCCACACTCACAACAACGGCCTATACAGACATAAATAAAGCAGCGACTGTATTCGCCATGACACAGGCAGTCTGTGGTTTGTACTTGTTTAACTTTTGTCTAGTTTCTGAGCCGATATGAGGAGCTGTGAGCTCTGAGTGCTAACAGCTAACGGCTGTGTTGTTTTTCTGGGGTTCTCATTGAAGATGACGTCACGGCTCCGCCTACACTGCGTTACTATAGTAACTACCCCAGTTCCTAAACTGTAATGGAAGCGCAGCATGAAGTGAGCCGGCCCTAACAAGGCCCAACGCGGCCTAGCAGTACCGAGCGAGGCCGAGGCCGACCGTGTGGTGGAAATGCGCCATAAAACTCCTTGGTTATCGTAGCCACGAGTCAAGTTAAAGAAACTGTCATGGTGAGAATAAAACACAGGGGACTAGTATTACTAGATGTGATGTGGACTTTAAAACCAACATTGGGCCCGATTTCTCTTCCTTTGACATTTTGCATTTTACATAAAAATCAACTAGAGAGAATATGCGTAGTTTGAGGTGTTTGACGAATCAATGCTGTCTTTTTTCTGGTTAGGATAGCCTGAATAATACCCATACTCCCTGTAGCTCAGTAGGCAGGGTACATTTAAGGTTACAAAAAAGGACATCTACCCACTTCAATTATCCAACAATACCTGCCAGCTAGGATCAACCTCCTCCTTTAGGTCAACATTTTGTAATAATGCCTGTCACTCACGCTGGGCTGGTGCACTGACGCGTCCGGAAGCGAACTCCAGTACCACAAGAGCGGGAGCAGGAGCCATACTTGCTCCAGGAGCCCCAGGCGCCATCTTGCTTGATCTGATTAGGATTCTTCCACATGCAGTGACCTTTGTAGCACCACTACAGAGGATGACAGGAGACAGGGAAACATAAAAGACTCAAATAACATCTATTTAGAGCAGAATTGATGCAAAATAATGTATTTTGTGACATCTTTGTAATTGCTAGAGGATTGATGTGTCATGGGAATATATAATAGGTAATGAGGTGGGTGCTGATAGGTTAAGGTATGAGTGTTTATCAAATAAATCAATACAAATAATAAAGGAAACACTCATTACAGAGCATGAGCAACATATATAACCATTTAATGAATGATGGTTAGTTCAATAGATAAATATAACATTTTGTGAAAAAAAGACATGACCAATAACACAAATAGTAGTGTTACAAATAATAACAAATACTAGGTACTTGCTACATCAACAAGTATAATGCTAAAGCAAACCACAATATGCAACATTTGTGTAATTGATAGGGGATTGGTGTGTTATGGGATATGGTGTCAAGTTGTGAGTGCTGTTACCTTTAGGCATGACTGTATATCCATTTAATCATTCATGAGAATGTCACAACAATTACATAATACTAAAATAAATAACCCTAAAAGTAAAAATGGTGAAATGTATTGAAAGGGGAAAATTAAAACTAAATTAAAAAAGGACCAATCACGAAAAAGTCCCCAATCATTATTAAGATAATAATAATAATGAGAATAAATAGTAGATACTTGCTACATTAACAAGTATAAAGTGCTGAATCACAGGAAAGTAATTGCATTATGTTAAAAGGATAGGGATTGTGTATTATGGAATAAGTGTTACATGATGATAGCTGCTAGTGTAGGGTTAGAGTGTTTTTGGCACAAAGACATACGTCTGTTTTAAGCTGGGATTCGTTCACAGGCTGATTTAATGGGGTAATGAAAGCTGCCAGTGTGTTGCTTAGTGCTGATGTGAAATTATTTGTATTACAAAAAGGTCTACCATTATGCGATGGCTATTGTGTTTCTTGTTTTTTAGTGTTGTCTGTGGATTTGGATGGGTGTCTAGATGACGGGAAGGTCCCCGAGCAGTCACTGACACAGAGGGTCAGAAAGGGGGACGCTGCGGCTCGTTATCAGGGATATCCTGTCAGGGGCTTGTTTCCAAAAGTAATGTGTTAGTTTGCAGAGCCAGCTGAAGTGGAAGTCATGTCTGATGTGTTCATTGAGCATCGTGAGCATGTATCCCAATTAAAAAAAAAGAAACATTTTGTCTTGGGTAATGTGAGTTTTGTGAATCCATTTGTAGCTGCATGTTAGCATCCTCTTGCTAATTGTGAGTTTGAGAGAACTGAAAGAGAAACCCTGCAGCAATGTTACATCATCTGGTGAAAAAGGTTCCCAAAAGAGTGGTAGCCCATTGTTTTCAACAATCATATGTCATTGTTAGGCTGATGCTGTGGTTTTGCAACTGACATGCATTGTTTATTACTTACTTTTGGAAAAACTGCTGTATGATCGCGGCTATTGTGTAATCATGATCTAATCCATCAAAGATTCTTCCTCCCTCACCGCATTCAAAACATCACTCAAAACCCACCTGTTCAACACTGCATTCAACCACTGACCACCCCCCCCCCCTATTTTCTGTTTTGTTTATCTCTTTTTGTATTTTTCTTTGTTTTTTCTTTTTTATTATTTGTATTCTCTGTCAAAGCGTCTTTGAGTTTCTAGAAAAGAGCTATACAAGTATAATGTATTATTATTATTATTATTATTATTATTATTATTATTATTATTATTATTATTAATAAAATAGTCCTGCAGATAGCTATAACAATCTTGTGGAAAAGCGGAAACAAGCACCAAAATTCATCCCTTTGGGGTCATTTCTTTTAAAAACACATTAGCCACTTTAATTTCCAAAATGGCCGCCATTTCCAGCCGAGGAAACAGTATTTTACCACAGAATTTATAACCACTGGATCTATTTTGGTGATTTTGGTATTGAGTTATTTGTTTAAGACTATGGGGAATATATAATACAATTAAAAAAGTTCTTCAGAGTTTTTTTGTATCATTTTAAACACAAAATGTAAAAATGTATATCTAAAACACTGGATTATTTCAAAAAACATATATTTTAACGATTTTCAAACTCCAACAGGAACTAAATTCTGCAAAATATCAGTAAATTGGTTAAAAGTCAAATTCAGTGCACAATCTGTGCTTTATTTAAATGCTCTGAGCAATCAAATCTAACACATCTTATCAGTAGTGTCCTTGTTTCCACATTATGACATAAAGCTCATGAATACAAAGGAGATAGGAAAACAACATTTCACCTTGGGATGGGACTGTTCAAAAAGTATTTGAATTCACCATTGACATTAGGCGTGCGTTCTCTGATTGCCATTCTAGTCTTTTCTCTACGTCCAGACACCTTTTTCTCGGTTTTCCAAACCAGTGGCCATGTAGTACTGCATATAATAGACATACTTACTTTTCCAGGAGCACACTCCGTCCCATCGAGAGGCGGACCCTTCTTGGTTTTGCAGAAGTACGGGTTGTCTGGATGACTGCACCACAGCTGTTTACATGGGTCAAATGTACGGAACTGAAACGCAGAGAAGAGGAAAATTGTGTGTGAGGTCAAGTGAGCTGAACATTTACGTGTAACCGGCATGAATCTGACGCACATAGAATGGAAAAAGAGCTGCAATCCTAAACTGGTTGTATATTACATTTGTGATCTGTTTTTGGTGCAGATTATGATAGGAAATTGCAACATCATGACTTATTATGTTTTTTTACAATCAGGTTGGAGGACCTCATGATCCATCTGTCAAAGAAGAAAACGTTTTGTTCTTGGCTCAAGACAAATTGTACTCTTTTGGTGCATTTTGAGCTAGGTTTTTTTTTGTTTTTGTTTTCTAGCTCCTAGCTCAAAATTATTTCTTGATACCATACTGCAGGGGTCGGCAACCCCTGGCACACTAGGAATAACTGGAATAAGTGTGCAAAACATTTAAATTGTATTTTCGGATCCTGAACGAGACCGCCGCCAGAGCGCGTCTCCCCGTTACCTGCAGAAGGAAGCCATGCACGCAACGCAGCCCCGGTCTCTTTAACTCCAGGCGACTTTCTGCCGCTTTCCTCCGTGGTGCAGTGCTGATCGTTTCACCACAGAGGAAAGCACTTCACAAATTGCAGTACCCATAAGGAGCTGTACAAATGCCGCAGTTTTTAGTTGAAAGCCCAGTGGCGATCTGCTCATCTCTCATAGAAATAATATGCTACAAAGGGGCGGACTGGCCATCTGTGTGTTCTGGAGAATCACAGAACGGACGATCGTCCTTATTATTATGCCGTTTAAACCAATTATTTAAATTTGTTTGTTAAATTCGGCATCATGTAAGTTGCGCTGACAGGTCCACACACTGCTTCCCCGCAGCGAGGCTCCCGTCGCCCTCCTGTTGACAGTTCACGAGCATCGAGCTCCCCCCGTTGATAATTCACGATCGTCGGCACACTGATAATTCTTATTTTTTTTAATGGCACTTCTTATCAAAAAGGTTGCCGACCCCTGCCATACTGTATCTGCTCATAGCAACTTCTATATGGTATAGTTTCAAGTAGGAATGGTAAATATGTTATGGAGTCTGGTGGAAATGTGGCACCTCAGCTGTTTACATGGGTCAAATGTACGAAACTGAAACACAGTGAAGTGAATGAGACTTAACTGGTACTGTTGATGTAAAACAAAGCATGTAACACATGGCAACCCAAAGGCGGAAATGTTTTGTGTTAATATGGCGGATGATGATTTGTATACATACAGTATAAAACATAAACCAGGATGGCATAAAGTATAAAAGATATGAGGTGTTAAGTATCGCAGTCACACTCCTCTATATCGGACGGACAGCTGCCACCCAAGAGTTACAAGCTCCACTATCAGGCACTCAGCTGAGAGGAGTTGGGATGTTTTTCGTCCCTTCAAGGTTGTATTTTTTTAAAGGAAGAATAGAACGGACAGGACTCATTGAGAGAACTCGAAAATTAGCTTTTTAGCTGCCCTGAGCATCCTTCTGACAAAAGGCTTCGTGAACAACACAAGCCCTAAAATGATTTCATCGACCCGTTCCCATCAACAGGCCGAGAGGGATCCGTTGGATCGCTCAGTCTCTCTCCTCTTCTGACATCCTTCTCTCTCATGAAGCTCCTCTTATCTGCATGGGATTCAAGCCAGAGATCAGATTACTACTGGCATTTTTATGAGATTACTTTTATTCATATATTCCATAGGTTTAAGATACTCATATATATTTTTTTTTAAATGTGCGCTACGAGTGAGAATTGCTGAAAAATGGTAAAGCAATTAGAGGTTCTCCTCTCTTACGGTATTGATATGCATATTTTCCTTTATGTGTGTCATTATATTTCCCCAATTGTCACTTTCCTGTTCAACCTTCAATCGCTGCGGCAAATCTCATATTAACACTGCAAAAATGTTTCATTTGAAAGCTAATAATAAGATATTAGATAACTATCTCAGTCCAATACATTGTGTATAATGAACACCATTTGTTTGCGCTCATTGGGTGAATTGTACTTCGTTCTTAAAGGCAAGTCACGTCCATAGAAACACCCACACTAATTTCTAAGCCTCTTCACCAGTAGTGGCGTGCTGGCACTTTTTGCGTTCAATCTATCATAACCTTGTGCCTCCATTCTCCATTTTCTTTGCTTTCTGCTTTGCGGAACTGCAGATCCAGCTACCTAGTCCTCTTCTGTCGCACAAATGGGGCGGCAGCAGCTGTGTCTGTAGGGACTTGGCTTGGGAACTTAATGGTGGCTGGTTCAAGTCCCAATCGGACCAAAAAAACACGGAGTCTGGACTGGTATCTGGAGAGATGCCGCCTCAAACCCCAAACTGCTTCCTGGTGCTGGAAAGCCTGGCAACCTCTTTGCTCTGGCACCTCTCTATAAAATGCATGTGTTTGTGGATATCTGTATTTCTATGTGTGTATGTGTACCGTGAATTCAACAGAGTGAAAAACTTAAATTCCCTCACGGATTGATAAAGGTTAATTTAATATATACTATCAAATGGCGAAAAGGCTGCCCTCCTAAGCTAGTGCTTATAATACAGTGCTTATAATACATTTTAGGCAAAAGTTATTTGTTTTGATTCCAGATTTGGATACAAAATGTCGACCTCATGTCTTTTTTTCAATAAGGTAAGAGGACCTTATGATGCATGCGGCAAATAAGAAAAAAGTGTTGTGTCTCGTCAAATGTGTTAGTTATGTTTATGCATTTTGTCTGTCATTTCCTGCTTTATTTTGTACTTACCTCTTGTCTTCAATTTCAGGCCCTGTTTCTTCCTCCCCTTGTGTGTTTTTCCCGCCATCATCAGTGTCTGCCCCGCCCCTGATTGTTTCCACCTGTTCCCACTCACCTCATGGTTAAATAGTCCTGTCTTCCCCTGTCCTGTGTCAGTTCGTCTTGTTTGTTTCCCCGAATGGTCGTGCCAAGCCTCAGCTCAGAAATAATCACTTTTCTCTCATGTCAGGTTTTGTTATTTTGTTTATTTTGTAGGCTTAAGTTTTTATTAAGTCGCTTAGTTTGTTCCTCCTTGTGAGCGCTTTTTGTTATTTCCACTACCTACTCTGTTAAGAGGGATTACCTGACCTGTGACAATAAATATACTTTTTGTTACATTCAAGACTTTGTCTCTGGGCCGTGCATTTGGGTTCATCAGTTTGTGTCGAGGTCCTGACAGAAAGTTTGTTATTGGCCCGAGACAAATTGCATGTTTGATATTTTTTTGCGCTCATTTTAGAAAACCCGGGATGATTGTAATAAAAATGATTTCTTGGTACCATATCTGCTCATGGAAAATGCTATATGGTATACTTTCCAGTATTAGTTTTTATAGGTTCAGATGCATTCAGATAACATATAAAGGGCCAATAGGTGTTAATTTCACGATGATTGGGGTCACAGATTTACATCCACTTCATTTGCCCGTCTCATTTACAGTAATATGACTTAATAGAAATAAATCTAACACTCACACATTATAATCCCGTAACAATTACTACGATTCTGTCTGCAGATACCATGTCTTCTTTTCCAATCTTGTTACATTTCTCAGGTTAATGTATCTTTGTTTGCAGAGGCACACAAGACAATTAGCAGTAATTAATGTATTTTGTTCTAAACAAAGAAAAACGATTTAGATTGTGATACAAAAAGTATCGCCTTGGCTCTGATGAACAAGTGATATACAGAGGCTACTATTACTCCGATTGCAGCTCTGTCCCTCTTGTTCTGTTTACACAAAGTGCAATTGTGGGAAGCTGCCCGCTCCAACAGCTTGTGTGTGTCGTTCACTTCAGGCTAACTAGGGAGGCCAACAGCAGTTGTTCAAAAATTGCAGATGTCATATTTGGACACAGCAAAAAATACATTTGATAACAGCTTTTGTTTGTAGAAAAACACCCGAACAAATGTTGTGATGCTGTTTAATTTGTGGTAGATTGGTGATCAGATTTGGTGCTTGACATCTCTGTAAAATGTCAGAACATTCTTTAATTATAGCTTCCATACTGAAAATGTGCTCCCTTAGTATTTTATTCAGACCTGTTTTGGGTTTTGATATATTTTTCTTCGTTTAAATGTTTTTTGAGTCTTTCAGCAACACTTGTTCCAGAAGTGGATGCAAACAAGATAACTATACTTCTTTGGCAAATCCTTCACATATTTACAATACGAGAAGATGGATATGGCGTTGTTGACTCAGATTATTTTAGTTGAAACATTTGAAATGTCCTGGTTGCCAGCTTTAAACAAATGCATGCATCTTTTGGTATAGACTGCTCCGTTTTTCATTTTTCTTTAAATGTATTTTGAGCCTCAACATTTTGCTAGAACCCAGTCCCCAGAATTTCCCAAAACCCAACACCCCAAAGAGTGTAGATTTAGTGCTTGAAGGCCCACACCGTAGCTAAGAGCTGTATCTCCTACTTTAAAAACGTCTTATCTCCAGCGGATGAGTCTATCACTAACAAGGTCAGAGCTGATTAGGTTAATAACTGCAGATTACCTTCTCGGATGAGTTCTGGGAAGAAGCCCTCAGCTTGCTGTCAACTTTGATTCAGTGTCTGCGACTTCTTAAAGTAAATCAATGTTTAACTTGCCAAATCTTCTATATGTACCATACTATTTTAATGTAATTGAACAGGAATGTGGGGTGGGATTTATCTATTGGGCTTGTTGGAGATCTAAGTATACTGTTATAGTAATCTCTTGCGGCACTAAAACATTTGATTAGAAGATCTCCAGCGAATGACTGACTGATTTAATGGAGTATTACAGTAAGCAGGAATCTTTATTTCAAGGTAATATTCTGCATAAACCTTTTTTCCAGCATACTCTAGATGGATGGACGTATATTACTGACTAAAATTAGTCAGAACCCCCAAGTTCTCCGCCCATTCCTCACAATACACACAACCTCCAAAAACAGACAACCTGATAAAATCTACTCCATCATAGAATCCATTACAATCCGATGCTGTGATTTTAGATGTTTTTTTAGATTCTATCTGTAGAGTGTACTCTCTCGTAATAAAATAAATCCTTGTACCATTAATTTGCATTTTTAACAAATATTTTGATAAAATAAAAGCTTTAGAACTTCCTCCAAAATTAAAAAGGTTAATGATTAAATATTAATTCTCCAGTTTTTTGCAGGTTTACATACATTTGTTGTTTTTCAATCTATGTCAGATCAAGGTTCTAATTAGCTTTTTTACCCGTGACTTTGATAGAAACGTGATATTAATATCAAGCTTGTGTAGATCAAGGTGATTTGATGAATAAAAGATGCATTGACTGCAGAATAAAGTAACAGAATATAAATTACCTCACCATCTGCAGATATTAAGCAGGTGCGACTGTAAGCAGATGTCTGTTTGAAGTGCTCCCTAATCTAGCATCTGATTTTGCTTGGAGGAATCTGCTGATATTTGAAAATCAGTTTATCTGAAGACTGCAATCATCATCGGCATCAGTCTGACCTGCTTTTCTCATCTAACATTTGTATCATTTTGGAGAGTAAATTAGGCCCTCTTACAGACAAGGTTTTGGGGTCTGAGTACACACTGTTCAGTCCTCCAAATGGTAACCTGAGTGCAGTACTCACCGAGGTGCAGATCTTATAGCCCACTCCAAAGTCAAATCGACACTGCTCATCCATCGAGTAGTTGATGCCGGGAAGTTCAGGGAGTTGCGGCCAGTCGTGTTTGAATGGGTCATCTAGGAGACAGTCGTACGTGCTGTCGGGAAAGAAGAGGTGACACCGAAGTCAAGCACTGAAGAGAACATTTTTTAAGACATTAAATCATTTTTCTAGATGGATTAGTCTACTGGGGCCTTGAAATACTTTAATCACAGGACCAAATAGACATATATAAGAGTCAAACCTTTCTCACTAACTGATTACTCCAGTTTAAAATGTGCTGCTGTGAATTCAAACTGTTCCTTTGATACATTTGGCATAACATTCTACAGCATTAAATCCATCAGTGTAATATCACACTCCAAGTAGAGCTGCAGCTAGTTGTGGGTAATGTGGCAAAAATCAAATACAGTGTTATGATCTATTTCATGTAAGTAACAGTTTCTCATGTAACAGTCATTGACTTGTTAATTGTATTCTTCTATTGCAAGATTGGTGACATACAATTTGTGTTAAACTTGAAAGAGTCAAAAATTCTTTAAAAATAGACTTGTTAAGGGTTTTTAAGGCTAACAGGTACAAAACAATTCTAGCCTGACTACATACAAATCATAGTCATGTGTTTTTAAAAGACTTGAAAGTATTCTAACAAATAAAAAGACTTGGCTAGCTGCAATTAAACGCCTGCAGCTAGTCCAGAATGCAGCTGCACGTCTTCTGACTGGCCATAAAAAGCGTGACCACATCACCCCAATTCTGGCCTCACTACACTGGCTTCCAATTCGGTTCCAAATTTATTTTAAACTCCTTTTATTTGTTTTCAAAGCCCTTAATGGGCTGGCTCCGGCCTATATAGCTGACCTCCTCCATCGCTACACCCCAGCCAGAGCTTTAAGGTCTGCTGACCAGCTGCTGCTGGTAGTGCCCAAGACCAGGCTCAAAACCCGAGGGCACCGAGCCTTCACAGCAGCTGGCCCCAGGCTCTGGAACACTCTGCCCCTCCATGTGAGGTCGGCCCAGACCCTAGGGGTTTTTAAATCCTCACTAAAGATTCACTTCTTCTCCCTGGCCTTCTAGTCAGAGCGGAGCATGACACCTGACTATTCCCTGTGTTTTTGTTTTTTATATTTCTGTTGTAAATTATTGTCTTTTATTGTGATTGTAGTAATGTGTTTTTATTACATGTACAGCACTTTGGCTCGACCAAAAATCGCTTTTAAATGTGCTATATAAATAAAACTTGATTTGATTTATTTGATTTGATTTACTGCAAGTTTTGCTAATTTTACATTTTAAAAAGCTGACAAAATACTTTGCAAGTTTCTGTTAAAAAAATATATTATTTAAATAATTTAGCTGATTGTGTAGACAGACTGAATGAAATGTAACTCTTTGTTTCCACATAATTACATTCATGGAAACAACACAGTCCATTCATACTCACAACTTTATAGCATATATCCTACATTTTAAACAAGATTATTGTTTTATATTCAACTCCAAACTTACTGCACAGATGTTTTCACATTAAAATCCTCCCAGAGACTCAAACTTCTGCAGATTTGTTTTGAAATCAAAGCCTACATGATGGCTTTGATTGTAAAACACTGGCAGGAGGTGTTTCTTTGACAGTAATGCAAAGTTGGCAGACTAAAACTCAGATCAGCTCAGTGTTTAATACGACAGGACTGCTGATATACCAATAAAGTAAGTGCTGCAGAAATGGATGTTATCTGAAATGTACAATGTGGGCCATTGTTGTAAAGGTAGTTGCATCCCCATTAAGGCTTTTTACCAATTGATTGAAAGTCAGCCATTATCGAATACTTTATTTGAAAATTCACTGTATGTTCCTTGCGCTAAGTGAAAAGCAAAGCATCCTACAATTTAGCATTTTGTTGTTCTGCGGCTTCTAATTACTGTTTGTTCGAACATACAATGCTTTAAAGACTGTGTGCAAATATTCGAACTGAATGCTACACACAGTTTTCACAGAGCATTTATCATTTCTTCTTTCAATGACAGTTTTGCACCTGTATTTCAGTTTGAGGACACATTGTGTTGCACATGGCCAGGTGGTGAACAGTACCTCAGCTGCAGTAAATGCCATCATGGCCGCCTTTTGTTAAACTGACAAATCGTATGTTCCTTTTTATAAGTGATAAATGAGCACCTCGCACATGTTTGCACAGCTGTCTACCCAAGCTTTCTCTTTCCATCTCAGAACCAAAGCTGTATCATCCAATATTATCACACAGCATTAACACTTTTAATACCGTTTATGGATTTATTGCTGCAATGGATCCAATTAAAATAGCCGGAAGCTGCTCTAAAAAAACTGTGTGCTGATTGATTTCACAATGTCATTTTCGTCTCTCACTTCGCTGTCAATAGTTGAGCATTTCACTGTTAGGAATTGATTTTTGTGCAGCTGAGTGAAAAACTCAAGGTCCCTGTCACTGTTTGGCGATTGCATGATACTTTTGGATAATGGAAAATATTGCAAATAATGGTTTCAAACAGTGTATCAAACAGTTTAAGTGCTTTTGGAAGACAGCTGCAGGTTAATGGTGTTAATGTAGGTACACTTAAGTGTGTTCCCAAGACATTATAAATATAGGTTGCTTAAGGTTATTATTAAAGAGAATTTCCCAAAAATTGCTCCACAAATTGTAGTACTTCTATTTGATAGGCATATGTTATGGCGCAGATAGTGGCACCATGTTACCAATTACAGTATGGGGCACTTTAGAATTTGGCTTCTGAGCTGTAAAATGTTGGTTCCAAACGTTTTCTTAACAAATGATCTAATCACTTTTTCTTTTTAAGAAATGTGTTTTGTTTTTTCTTATGCCAGAATGTTTCAATACTGTTGTTTTCAAAGAAATTCAGATGTGGCTTATTAAAAATCAGCTAAATATATCAGCATTTTTTCTTAACAAATGGCTGAAGCAACACAATACATTAATGATCATGATTGGACATTCACTTTGCTTATATTCATTCCAATACAAATTATGGCAACCATTTAGCATGACATATTTTCATGCTTTTTTTTAAAGCAGATGCAGATGAAAAAGATTTTCTGGCGGTCAAACATGTTTCTTTTTTAGCCCTGATAGAGGTTTGAGTTCTCGGAGTGCTTTCCAGATAATAGATACATTAGTGATCAATCTGTGGATGTAAACTGCCAACATGGACTCACTGGATGTATCTTTTCAGCTCCTGTCCGCTGCACATGGACCAGTGGTATCGATGGAAGGCTGCCTGCACCAGAGGAGCCATCACGCTTCCCATCGACGTTTCGTCTCCGCAGCGGTTGCCTTGGCCATCGTGCTCCATGCCCAGCCTATTCCCAAAGAGAGAGACGAGGAAATACTTACAAAACTGCAGATTATCAAGATTGACAAATGCCCAAGGAGTTTTAAGTAAATACGCTGATTTAACACCTTTGACATATTGGGGGACCGAAGTGGAAAACAACCTAAATTACTCAAATAATTTATCGTTATAAACAGATAACTTCTACATTTTTTAGACACTTTTTTTTCTGCAGCAGGTGGATGTTTGAAAACTTGTCACGATGTAGCCTGAGGGCTTTTGACATCGTGGAAGGTAGAAATGTGCTCCCTTTAGGAATGATACAAATGTGTAGAAGTGCACATTTGTATCATTCAAATATTACGTACCTAAATCCCTTCATAATAATCTGAAGGCCACATGTTACATACAAGACACAAATAATGCATGTTATCATGTCACTTCACTTAAGCCAGTGGAATTTGTTTTCAGTATTGGATTAAAAACACTTAGTACATAGCATTAGTAATACGTCACCCATAAAGTATCACATAAATATTTCCAAATTATCTCTGACTTTGTTTTACCAGGCAATAGAAAATTGGCATTCAGACATCTATTCGCAAAATAACTTTTTCTGCAAAACTACATTTTAAAATGTAAATAATGCATTGCAACACTTGACCTCGGTACTGTTTATACAATGCAGGCCAAGGGGTTCTCTTCTTCACTCTAAATCTTTTACAAACACAGACTCACCGTAAGTCCTATTGAATTAACCTTGGGGGTTTAGTTGAACCCATCGAGTATTCCTTTGGAAATTCTGTGCATATATATGAGAGTAAACTGAAGAGACTGGAAATGCAATGAGAAACAGTGACAAATGTCTGCAGCCACAGTTGTACCGGTTTCACGATCACAAGTTGTCGTTTGTGATTGGCAGCCAATCTCAAGAAGATGGTTGAATTAATATATTCAAAATGTTTGACGAGCTATCAAACTTAACTGCCGACATTGCAGGAGTGGCTTCCAGTAACTGCTAGAATCCACTTCAAGACACTGGTACTTGCGTACCATGCTGTGAATGGATCTGGCCCTTCCTACATCCAGGACATGGTTAAACTGTACACCCCAGCACGTGCACTCCGCTCTGCATCAGCCAAACGGCTCGATGCACCCGCACTGCGAGAGGGACCCAAGTTCCCATCAGCAAAAACACGTCGGTTTGCTATCCTTGCTCCAAAATGAGGCATTCACAGGGCATTCAAAGGCCAGATGAGATATAATCCCTCCAGTCTGGGTCTATCTCTGGTAGTTGGACAAGCCCAGAGAGGAACAAAGTCAAAGATGATTTTTTAATGCACTCTCACTCATACTGAATGTGTCAATCAGGCCGATCTCCAATTATAAAATAGCATTTATTTTTTCATAACAGAAGTCCTGAACGTTTTATGGTTAAAATCGAACTATCTACCAGCATGTTACCAGCCACATCTCCATGAGAACTGAGCAAACATCATCCGTTGACTACGACCATGATGTCTGAGAAATGTTATAGAATGATTTTGTTTGTGGACATTCATTTGGGATTGATTGAGGAAGTTGCATTGCATTCAAGACAGTATCATCTGCTTTGCAGTGGAAGTGAAGGCCAGGGCAGCGCATGATTTGAAGGGGAAGAAGCAAGAAGATCAAGAGGAGAGGACCAAGCACTGAACCCTGGGGGACACCTTGGGACAGTGTGTCAGTGTGTGAGGAAAGCTAGGAGAAAGCAGTGCCGGTCAGAAGGATGGTGGTGGTTGATGGTGTCAAAAGCTGCAGTGAGGTCAAGGAGGATGAGGATGCTGAGGTGTAGAGGAAGAGGTCATTGGTAACTTTGAGGAGGGCTGATTCAGTGCTGTGTTGTGAGCGAATACTGGTTTGTAATAGGTTGTTGGAGTTGAGGAGGGTTTTCAGATGGGTGGAGACTACACATTCCAGTATTTGAGACAGAAAGGGCAAATTGGAAATGTGGCAGGATTACTCATGATGTCCGGGTTGAGTCCAACTTTTTTGAAGATGGGGGGGACAGCAGCCAGTTTGAGTGAGTGGGGGTAATGATCTAGAGTTGAAGGAGGAGTTGATGATGTGAGTGATGATTAGCTGAGAGATTGCTGGGAGACAGTTCTCGACAAGCTGTACGAGGATAATATCCAGGTTTTCATTATTTTTATAATTTTTGAGGGCTCCATGGGGGACACAGGGGAGAACTGAGATATAGGGTCTGAGTACTAGATAGAAGGAGAGCATGGGCGGAGTAGGAAAGGTCAATAATGAACTTTCATCTTCAAAATGTTGTTATAAAACAGTACAAAACTGAGGTAAATAACTTAATAATAAATACATTCCTACAAATGTCTCAATGTTCTGCTTTGCTTTGATGAAAAAAGAGCTTCATATAAACTTTATAATTCAAAACTCAGTGAAGAAATGATGATGCAAACCGTTTTTTTATGTATAAGTTATGATGCACAGAGTATTGATATCTGCAGCAGAAGGGTTTAAGAGAAACAACATTTTGCTGTTTTTCAAAAATAATTGGATCCAGTGGACTTGTTGTTACGTGGATTTACAAGGTCATAAATGTAACTGTTATTAGTATTAATAAACTGACATTAAACAGCCATAAAGGAAAAAGGTTCATAAAGAAGACAGATGGTAGGTAGTCCATTTAGTTTGGTGAGTCATACTGCAGGCAGCCCCAGTGGGTTTTGTCAATCATTATGTATCATTTTCTATGGTTGTGTTCTTTCATACAAATTGTTTACATTTTTTACAAATAGTCTCTGTTGTCACCCAACCTACACATCATCACGTAGCATGGATGACCAACAAGAGAAAGCTGGAGAAAAAAAGTTTGGATAGAAACGGGTGGGCCCATTGTGCACTGCTGTACATCCTGTGCTGTCCTTGCTGTGAATGAGAGGTCATGTTCTGCCAACAGATAGTGAGCATCAATAAACACTTTGGTAGATGTCAGTAGATGAGGCGTCAATACTGTATGTTCCAGTGTCACCAACACAAACTCCTATTCAGTTATTTTTACACACATGCATAAAAGGATGCAGAGCTTCAGCAGATTTGATATCAGCTCTAGAAAATGTTCTTTTTGCTTGTGATGCAAATGTTTTGCCAGTAAGAATAAGAACTATGAATACAAAAAGAGCTTTCAAATAGCTTTCACTATTGACAACAAATCCACACATCTGCTGATCAAGGCCAAAGATGTTTTTGAGGCAAAAGAAACGGCCAGAGTTCAAATGTTTCAATAATTGAATTACCCCTGACAACAGCTGTGTGTCTGTACTGTCGAGCTCCTGGTTTCTAATTGTTTTCATATATTTGTCCCCTCAGGAGAGGTGTATTGATCCCTGTAGATTAAACCCTCGGTTCACTTGGCCCCAGGGTCAGATGCAGAGCAACAACCGCAACGAGGGATTCTGTGTTTCAGTAGGGGACATTTCAGCAGGACGGATCTTTGCCGTCATAGCTTGTTGAGTCTGTCCCACAGCTGCTTATCGTTTCTCACTCTGACGTCTTGCTTCCCATTTTTTAAAGTCATTTACATTTCAACAAGATCAGACAATAAAGTAACAATTCCAAAACCTGCTGTTCATCGGATTAATCTGAACATATAGAGGAATGTACAGAGCTGTCCAGCCGTTCTATAAATTGTGAGCTATAACCCCTTAAAGTCCAACTGTTTTAATGTTCATTTATACCTTTTTGAAGTTAATAATAATGTCAACATGATTTTTTAAATATATTCTAAATGTTTTTTTATTAAAAGAAAGTAAAAAGGTCTTTATATAGGATGGAAAAATCTGAAATTATGTTTTGAGTCATAGCCAACTGGAGGGAAATGTAATTGAACAAATGAATGAACGTTGAATGTAGCATTTGTATGTTGTAAACATAATACTCAACTAAAAGATTGATAACACAAAGAGAGACTATGAATTAAATGCAGAGCACTACAGTAGCAAACACTAAGTGATTACAGCCTGTATTAAGCTCTCTTAATACATCCACATTCATCAGTTATTTCCAGTATTCTTTCTGTCTCTCTGCCTTTTTGTGCCACATAAATAGGCAAGGGAAATGAGATCTTCACATCCTGAAAGACTTTCCTTTCAGCAGGAATCCTAGTTGTTGCCTAGTGACATGTCTGCAAATACAGTCATCATTTTGATCAGTGTGTTGTGGTGAGTATTTCTGGAGTACTATCATTTGCAGTCTTCAAATATGTTTCCAGTTGTGTTTGACAAATGTGTGTGTGTGAGTCAGATATAGTAGTGTTGCTTTGATGTAGACTTCAACAGTGAAGTTTTTTTGAGGTAGTGTGGGTTACATTGTTTCCCCTAGGATGGAGTCATAGCAGTTTTTTTGTGTGTGCGAAGTGCGCCCCACCAATATGTTTCTATGTGTCTGCCAGCACAAGAAAGGCTCTTGAGGCCTAGTACATACAGTGGCAATGTCTCATTTTACACTGGGGTTATGTACAAGATGTATTCTAGGGTGGGTAAAGGAAAAAGGGGACAAACTGTTTCAGAGTGCATGTATTTTTTGGACATGTGCTCAATAAACAAACATTTAAATTCGATAAAGGCATGTTCACTGTCAGGGTGCTGAGGTCCAGTCTGCTTACTATAAAGGCCAACACAGAGATCACACACAATCAGAGATCCCATGGAAACTGAGCCCCGCGGAGACATTCACACTTGTCTTATGAGGCTGTGTTATTCAGCAGAGGGAGAATAGCTTCCCTTCCCTTCCGTCACAACACAGCGTACCCTAGGGAAGAGTAATGGAGTATAGAGGTGCTCAGAAAACCCCTACATGGACAGAGAATAAATAACATAACAAGAACTTACACATGTCCGGTCTCGTGAGCCACAACAAAGGCCGAGGAGAAGCCGTCTTCATGGTTGAGGGTGCAGCTCCGGACTGGGTGGCACATGCCTGTGACTGGAGCATAACCTGAAAGACATCGGGAGGAAGGATGGAGGTTATTATAAGAATGTATTGAATGAGAAAAATCTGATTGTGGTTATTTCAATGAGAATACTTTCCAAAATGTATAAAAATAGTCCTTAGGTTTGTAGTATGGGGTTCTGGAAAGTGAAGCCAATGCGGATGTGTTTTAAACTTGCATTCTATCTTTTAGCCGGGGATCAAATTGTATAGAAGTATATGAAACAAATATTTTACTTGAGTTATTACTTCATTAAAACATTTATATTAAGTATACAGTCTCAAATGTTAGGTTCAAGTTTTCTTCAGAACAGCATGATTCATTTTGTAAGTCATGTTCCCACAAATAAATGATAGAGCAGCGTATTCTTAAGAGCGTCAACATTTTGTGATTGACAGGCTGCTACCAGTATGCTTTCCTGGATGGTTGGGATTTGTGTTTTGTTTTTTACTTCAAACTAAATATTAGAACTTAAACCTTACCAAACTATTCAGTACATCAAAGATATTTGATTTGGGTTGGTAACATTTGTATTTTCTGGTTTAAACTTCCCGAGTCTGTGAAAAAACGCCAAACTTGCGGCTTTGTGCTGTTGGCCATAAACGATGACTGTGTTTACCTCTTTTAGGCAGCTCACACTGTATTTCTCAGATTTGATTTAAAAACTTGGATAAGAGAAGAATTTTACTATTTTACAATGTTCAGGAAAAGTTATTTACAACTTTAAAGGTCCCATGTCATGCTTTTCCGGTTATTACCCGTCCCCTTGTGTCATGTAGCTTTTTATGCATGTAAACGGTCTGCAGAGTCACAAACCCTCAAAGTACACCCTGTAGCGAGTAAAACTCTAACACAGAAAATACCTGTCTATGCTGCCCCAAAACGCCTCGTTGGAGATTTTTCTTTTTCCATTTTTGTCTTCCTGGGTATGGTGACGTGACCATACCCAAATGGACCCATTGGTCCAAATGGACCAATCCGTGGAGCTCCTCACACACACTCTCTCAGCTGCGAAACTATGACGCGCTGGGGGGGGGGGGGGGGGTGCTAGTGGAGCCTCGCAGCGGCAAAACTGTGGCGCGCTTACACTATAGGTTTGGGGGTGCGGGTGCTAGTGGAGTCTCGCAGATGGGGGTGCTGCAGCCCCCTTCCCGCGTCCATTTGCGATGCCTCGCTGTCTCGCAGACCCCACGCAGCAACCAGGAAATGAACCCAGCTCACACTGTCCGCTCCTCACAGCAGCGAGCCGCGCAACGTCCCGCCAACACGGCACCCAGACCCCACGCAGCATTCTCATCTGTTTGTCATTACTGGTGTCATTTTCTGGTTGCAAACGCCATTGTAACACATAATCACTGATGTTCCACTGAAACGGTGGTGGACTCATCAGAACAGAGTGGGCGAGCTGACCAATCAGAGCACACTGGGCTCACAGGGAGGGGGGGGGGGGGGGGGGGGGGGCAGGAGCTCCAACAAGCCGTTTAGGACAGAGAGTGAATACACATACTTTACAGAGCTGCTGTATGAGAAACCAATGTGAGTTTGGAAAATTGCACAATGTAAATCTATTCTAGTAGACCTCAACAATGGAATTATGATCAGTAGAAATGGCCATGACATGGGACCTTTAATACAATTTAGCAACCCAGATATTTAACAAACCCACGTCCTTTATTCGGGGTGAAGGAAAATAAACTAGGTTGTTGAAATGGATGGTTGGATGTACAGTACAACACACAGGTTGTTATGTCCTAGGTAATTGTATTGGTCACTCATAAAAAATGTCAACACTTGAATTTAACTTGACTTCTTAAAATTCAACGAAGAAAGTTCTCTTTCCTTGACCTCAACAAAGTTGCCCTAAATAAATAAATTAATCTTTCAGCATGCAAGAGCAGATACTGGGAAAAATAATTATCCGTTTCATGTAGTCTCCTTGTTTTGTTGACTGAAAAAGGAGCTGTTTTACGTTTCATACAATATGCATTATGTAGTGCAAATAAGATGTAAATTAAAATAACTCTTAGAAGACAAACATAACCTTTCCTGATATCCAGTAATGCAGATAGCTTCTGTTTTATCTCTGGAGGTTCTGAGACTTCTGCTGTTGTCCAAATATTTTTCAGGCAAACATAGTTTTGTTGGGGTGACCTAAACTTTATAAAACAACGTGACAGCCGCTTCTATCTCCATAGGATAGGAAAATGACTTCCAAATAAATATTCTCTTACGACTGTTGATTCCGCCGTATAACTAAGACGATGATTTTAAAATATAAATGTCGTTGCTGGGTTTTTTAAACGTTATGTTTCGAAATACATTGAGCCCTACAGAACAACTTTCATTCACCTCTACTGGAGCAAATAAAAACTGACACTACTTGCAAGTCCAAACAGTACTCTGCCATCTAAAGTAAGACAGATGTGAGTGTATTTCTGTCCATGCATGTTACTGTGTGTGCAGACGTGTGTCTCATGATAGATGTCTTGATGAACTCTGCAGCAAAACAGGAAACAGATATCACAAACAAAGCAGGGGGGGGGGGGGGTGGGGGGGGGCAGAGATTCAGCATGGAAGGAGGGAAGGAAACGTTTTACATTTGCCAGCTTCGTGATTATTAATTAAAACTGAAATTCACAATTTACTGTAGGTCTCAGACTATTTCCTGCTAGCTTTATGCATGCTGTGGCGTCAGTCGCCAAATTGCTATTGACAGACAATATGGAGGCTTCGGTTGGCAGAATAGACAAGCTCAAGTGTGCCACAAATAGAATAAAAACGCACTTATCGGTGCTCTCTTTGTGCTGTTGTTTCCCCACTTTACTGACAGTTACAAACGTACTGGAGCAGCAACATAATGAATACAGACACTATCCAAATACAAACCAGGAAAAGATAGTCAGTTGGGAGTATGGCTTTTTGCACAGCACTGGTGCAATACATTTGGCACAGTGCCACTAATAATGGCCTGTTTGAATTGATCTAAATCATCAATTTTTCTGGTTTGTTTGTAGAAATTTGGATTATTCAAGAGTGATTTTCTGCAAAAAATCAATAACATGGCCATTTTATTAATGTATTACACCTAAAATGATTTCCTATTGAAGAAAATGCCTATTAAGAGTCAATGACCTTAAATCAGTTCACCACCAGGCTAGTCCATAATAACAGATTACATGTCACGGGATTACATAATCAGGATACAAAAAACAGTAGCTGTATTCCCTTACAGTAACTGAAAAAAAAAATGTAATCAGATTACTGTTACATTTCTAAAAATTGGGAATTACTAGCAGCATTACAATGTTACAATACATGAAAATGAAGAACCTATATGTTCTTAAAGTAGTTTCACTGTTGGTGAATATACTACCCAAATATGCCTATTGAAAGGCATGTTTTTCATATTTTTTAAATTGCTGAGCTGAGGACATATTTTTGATTCTAAATATCTGAGGGACTCTTAGTTTCTTCTTTTTTTAAGTTTACATGGTTGTGTTGTCTTACCTAATACACCAAAGCATTGCTATTTATTTTCTCTCTGCATCTTTTGCTTTGCATTTGATATTAAGGTAATCCAAAGTAAATGAAAGTAATCAAGTTACATTATTTGTATATTATAATACTCAGATTTGGTTATAAATTACTCTTTTTTATAAAGGTAACCAGTAATTGTAACAAAAGTTTAAAAACTTGGGATGAAACTAAATAAATTGCAAACTATATTATACTGTAGGAAAAGCAATCATCTATAAAATCAGTCAATTTTGTAAAAACTATGAAAGAGAAAGAACTTAAGCCCCGGCCACACGAGGACGATATCGGTCGTATCTGCTACAGTTCACTCGGTTCGGCCACACAAGGCCGACATGGAAACACAGAAAACAATAACGGGTCCCAAGGTGGGTAGATCTGCAAACTAAACGCTCTGGGGGGGCGAACGGCTCCGTGTTTACGCCTATATGATCATTTCCTGATAACGTTGAAGCAATAGCCCCGTCTCTCCCCACCTCTCCTGCTCAGAGATCAGCTGCTGGGCTGTCAGAAGAGGGGGGGAGGAAAAGAGAGGCTCCGTCTTTTATTATTATATTATTATATAGAGTCGTTATTCATTTGTTTTAAAGCTCAATACATAACAAAGAAGACCTTTGACTGGCACTTTTCTAATTTTGTCCGGAAGATTTAAACTTTAACGGACATGTTGACCGGCAAAAAAAAATCTAACTGAAACTCTGCCGCACGGTCCCCTCGTCCCTTGGAAGAGGCGGAGAGGTGGGTGTTTGTCATCTGCTGGTGGATTACCGGAGAGATCTACAGCAGGAGCAAACGCTTGCCTCGGGGAGGGAGAAAAAGAGCCAGAGCGTCCACAGCGGAGAATAAACAGAAGGGCAACCATGGCAACCATGCGCGGGAAGTCTTCTTCACTGCTTTTGTGGCAGGACTACAGCGCCACTTACAGGCCTGGCATATGTACTACAGCGTCTCCAGCGCTTTCGAGCGGTCTCGAGTGAACGGACACGTTTCTGGTGCCTGTTGCGTGTGGACGGAAGACTTTTTTGATAACGATTGCGGTCCGTTTGCGTTATCGTCCTCGTGTGGCCGGGGCTTTAGTGCCAGCACTTAGTGCTAGCACCCCATGGAACTAAGTACAGATCGCGTTCACACCAGAATAAGTTCCCTGAGGGAAGATTACGCAAATGAAGCCGCTGATGTCACTTCTTCTTCTTCTGCTTTGGGTTTACTGGCAGGCCGCAAACCACTTCACGGCGTATACTGCCACCCGAAGTTCCCGGCTGGAAGTCCCCGGAGTTGGGGACTGGCTTCAGTAGAAGCTGCTGGGACTCCCAGCAGCTTCTACTGAAGCCTTCCGAGTAAATCGCCAGAACGCCGACACCTCCTCATCACTCCACCGCTCCCATGTTTTTTGTTGTGTTGCCATAAGTAATTCTCTCTCCGTTGGTGCGTGGGGCTAATGCTAATGCCAATAATGCAAATGCCAGCAAAT